GGCCCTCCTGGAGAGACTGGGAAAATGTAAAGTCCCCTTGGGTGGCACCTAAACACTCAGCAACGGATGACAGGGGCATCAGGGCCACCAGAGGACCTGAGCCTCCCACATAGGGCCTCTGAGGTCCTGGTAGCCCATCTCTGAGCCCACTGAGTGGCCCCAGGGGCTCAGTGGGACAAGCACTTGCAAATTGTGGCCTGGGTGGGGACCTGGGCCCAGAGCTGGTCTCTGCCCGGCTTGGCTGGGGAAGGAGGAGGGGAAGGGTGGATTCTGACTGGTGTTTCACTCCTTTGCAGACAAGGCACCTAAAGGGGCAACAGGTGAAGGACCCTCAGCTGCAGAAAAAGACCCTGGGCCCCCAGACCCAGAGAAGGATCCTGGGCCCCTAGACCCACAGAAAGAACTTGGTCCCCCAAACCCAGAAAAAGAACTTGGTCCCCAAACCAGAAAAAAACTTGATCCCCCAGACCCTGAGAAGGATCCTGGCCCTCCAGACCCAGAGAGAGAACCTGTTCCACTCACGCTGAAGACAGATGCTGAAGTCCCAGCCCCAGAGAAAGGGGATGGTGCCTTGGCCCCACCCTCATCCAGCAGCCAGGGCCCTGAGGGAGAAGGCAACCTGGGTGGGGGTCCTGCGGAGGGCAGTGCTGGGCAGCCGGCGGCCCTGCCCCAGGAGACTGCGACCGCCGAGGCCAGTGTCAAGAAGCCTGATGCCGAGCAGGGGACCCCAGGCAGCCAGGACCCTGGAGAACCCAAGGCGCACAAGAAGGTGGCAGAGGGCCAGTCAGCAGCCAGGAGGGGCTCACCCGCCTTTCTACACAGCCCCAGCTGCCCTGCTGCCCTCTCGAGGTGAATGGCCCCTGCCCGGGAGTTGGGAAAGGGTCCTGAGGCCCCTCTGCCCCAGGCCCTGTCACATTCAGGGCTGGATTGGGTAGTTCTGACTTTGAGTTTGGGTATCAGCCTGACCACGTGGTCTTCCTGCAGAAACCAGGACTTTGTGATAGTTCACAGAAGCCTGGAATGTCAGGCCAGAGAGCTCCTCAAAGACCTCTTCTCTAGGCACCTGGAGTCCAGTGTTCCCCTTACCCCGTGAACTGGGGTCTTGCCAACGGCATGACTGAGATGTCAGGAGGAAAGGATAACCCTTCTTAGTATAATTATTGATATAATATGGAAAGGTGACTAATAACCAGACTGATAGATTATTACTTTTATAACCATAATATAGCACCTATCTTATGATGCAATCCATTATACTTACCTGAGTGCCAATCATATTAATGAGGTATTAATGATATATTCATTATAAAGCACAATAATAACACTTATCATATCAGTTTGAATTATGTGGTAATATAAGTTAATATCATTAAATACATTAATCCATTGCATCACCACAGTTTTATGAATCAAGAGCTACTTAACCTGCCTAATGGTAGTCACATACTGGTTAACCAGATCAACCATCCTTTTAATAGTTACTAATGATCTATTAATGCATTGATAGTCAAGATAACAGCCACAGACATTTATGGTGTTACTAACGTTCCTTGATTTTGTGTTCAGATGCATTAGCCCATGCATTTGGGGTGGGGGGCAGGGCTGTATTAGCTCCAGATTTCAGATGAGGCTCTGGGAGACCTGCCGGCAGGACTGTGGCTGCTGAGGGCGTCACCTCTGTGTGCTCACATTCTAGCCCTGAGAAGCTGCTGGCTGAGAAGCCCCCAAATGAGGCATCAGAGCTCATCTTTGAAGGGGTCCCTGTGACCCCCGGCCCCACGGATCCCGGGCCAGCCAAGGTAGCAGAGGAAGAGAAGAACACCCCGGAAGGGAGCCAGAAGGAAGCAGGAGAGGAGGCTCAAAGCCAGGCTGACCAGGCTAAGGTGCAAGGGGACACCCCAAGGGGGATCGAGTTCCAGGCTGCTCCCTCGGAGAGATCGGAGGTGGGGCAGGCCCTCAGTCCCACACCCAGGGAGGAGGACTGCTTCCAGATTTTGGGTAGGCTGGGGCTGCCCTGGGGCCGAGGGAGGAGGGAGGGGGCTCCCCATGTCTCCCCTTGCCTTTCGATTTAGAGGACTGAACCACTCTGAGCCACCTCACCCAGCCCAATTCATCTAAGTGTCACCCAGCCCCAGGAAGTGCGAGTGTCTAGTCCCTGCTATAGATGGGGAAAAAGAAGGGGAGTGGAGTGCCCCAACCCCATAGCCAGGACAGGATATGAACCTGTCAGGACAGCCTGACTCCAGAGCTCACTTTTTGCTTTCTTCTACTTTAGCTAAAATGGGTTAAAAAAATCAGACAGAATATTGGAGTAATTCTCTGGACAGTGGAATTTGAAGCCAATCTGTAGAAGCACTCAAATGCCAGCTTTGGTAGTTAAACTGCATCCTGGATGGGTGAGGAGGGTCATGGAAGCCATAGAGGGTTCATGAACTAAGGGGCACAGGTGTCTGTATATGGGAGTGGTGACCAAGGAAGCTGGGCACATGAGATGGGGCAGGACTGCGGAGTGGCCTTAAGTGATGATGGTTTATTCAGCAGGGAGCAGGGAGCCATTGAGCATGAGTGAGCTTGGCGAGCAGGTGATTAGGGAAAGGGCCTGGGCAGGGCTGGGGGGTGGGGTGAGATGGGGTCAGAAGAGCCCAGAGTGTCCTGACAGCCCCCTCTCCTCCAGGCCGAGGTGCCCTGGGAGACCCGCCAGCCTGCCTGGTGAGCGGCACAGTGCCACCCAGACAGGGTGGGAGGACCTGGCGGCTGGCGGCAGCCAGGAGCCCTGCCTCCTCCCCTGAACAGCGGCACAGACCTCCGGGCCCACTCCACCCAGAAATCACATCCTCGAGTGATGGACCTGAACAACATCCAAGGGCCATCTGATTTATCACTAGCCCGGCTTCCCTGCGGCTTCTTGCTATTTATAAAGAGGTTTCCATTCCCGATGACTCAGCCTGTCCTCGGCCAGGGCCTGCTGTTCCCCATGGTTGTCACTAGGTGGCAGGCTCTCCTTACCAAACATCTCCATCCCTGGCTCCTCCATGCCCACCCCTGGGCTGGGTCCTGATTGGACACCCACTCCACAGGTGGCGACAGCTTGTGGTGTTATTTAGAGGGGAGGGTGGGTAGGTCTCATGGCCTACTCCATCAGACACAGTAACCCCTATCTGGCACTCCACCATTACAATTGCCTTTTTCTTTCTTTAATGGAAATGCTCATAGCTTGGGATGGAGCCTTCATACCTTATAACGTGGGAGGGTCCGAGAAGTCCAATCAGCCGTCCCGCCTGTTGTGCCGGGAGAAGCTGAGCTCCTCTCTGACAGAGGCAGAGGCCTCCCAAGGCCATTTTGTGTGTTGGTGGCAGAGCAGAAATTGGAAACTGGGCCCCTAGCCCCTGTCCTGGAGCCAGCTGTCCCCCAGGTACCGCTCGATGAACTTCCCTGGATGGGGCCCAGGCCAGGCAGGAGGGGCTGGTGTCCAGGGGAATCTTCAGCAGCCTCGGCACTGACTGTGATGGCTCTGCTCTGCTCCCCAGATGACTGCCCGCCACCCCCCGCTCCCTTCCCCCACCGCATCGTGGAGCTGAGGACTGGGAACGTCAACAGTCAATTCAGCCTGAACTCCAAGGAGGCGCTTGGCGGGTGAGAGCTAGGACCCTGAGCCCCTGGCCCCTGGGGCCTCACATCTCCCCCACACAAGGCCCAAACAGAAGGCCCAGACACACCCCAACTGGACAGGAGCCATGTGGACACAGTTTCTTCCATGTGGCTGCACTTGTCATGTGCAGGGTGTCACATGGCTGGCGTGTCCTCGTCTCACTGTTGCTCACACAGACACACCATCAGTCATTCAGTGTTTCTCATGGGAAGCACATAGTATTTTCCTGTCTGTCTCAGTTTTAGGCACCACACTGACCCCCTCAAGGTGATTCCTGCCTTATTAAAAGTCCCGAAGGTACCCTCAGGGCCCAGGGCCTGTGAGCTGCATGTCAGGGGCCGTCCTTTGATGAGCTTATCCTTCCTGGGCCTGTGGTTGGTGTGGTTCAGCCATTGTCCCTGCAGCAGGGCTCACAGTTTCAGGAGGGAGTCAGAGCTGGCTGGGACGTGCATTCCCATCTCACAGGGAACTGAGGACCAATCCCCTTACCCCATGCCCCCTAGAATTCCCTCACTCCAGCCTCTTCCCTCTCCAGGGGCAAGTTTGGAGCCGTCTGTACCTGCGTAGAGAAAGCCACAGGCCTCAAGTTGGCAGCCAAGGTCATCAAGAAACAGACACCCAAAGACAAGGTAGTGGGGGCTGGCTGTGTGGGAGGGGCAGGGATCCTTGAAGTGGGTGCTTCTTACCTCCCTCCACCCACGTGTCTGCATCTGGGGCCTGGTGTGTGAACCTGGATGCGCCGAAGACCTCACACAGATAGACAGATGGACAGAGAGACAGCCCTGCCACAGGGGCCTGACGCTTCTGGCCATAAACCAGACCCCTCAGTTAGTGAACTTACCCTGGGGACCTCCCCTTCTAGCCATTTCCTCTTCATGCCCTCTGTTTGGTTCAAGTCATCAAGCGCTGACGAGCGCAGGCTCTGGCCCTGTGCTGGGCGCTGGAGATCCCGAGGGGAAGCCAGTGTGGTCCCCGCCCTCAGGGGGCCCCAGGGTAAACAGGCCTCTAGGGCTTTGCCTCTAGCACCGGCTTGGGCCTGATTCAGAGGAGGCCGAAAGCAATGTTTGCTCAGGAGTGAAGGAAGGAAGGAAGGAATGAATGAGGCAGAGGCTCACACGGAGTGAGGCAGTCGGGTGTGCGAGGAGTGGTGGTGACCTAGTGGCCTGGTGCAGTGGGAGCTGTAATTCAAGAAAGGGCGGGATGGGAGTAGGAGGTGCAGAGAAGGCCCCTGACTCACCCTTGGGGTCAGGAGAGCTTCCTGGACCAGCTGTCTCCTGACTGAAGGCTCTGAAGAAGGAGGAGCTGTTTTCCAGTGGTGAAGGGAAGGCAGGGGAGAGAGCACCAAGCAGAGGGGACTGTGGAAGGAAGGCCAGAGGGCCAGCAGCGCAGGTGCCTGCTGGGAACCCTTGAGCTGAGGCCGGGGGAGCTGAGAAGGGAGGTGACTGGCACTTCTGGCAGAGACAACAGCACCTGCAGAGGCTTGGAGCCCAGAAGGAGCATGAGAAGCAGCTCTGGAGGGAGGCTGAGCCCTGAATTCCTCACAGTGGCTCTGAGCACATTGGAACAGCACAGATTGTCTATGTGACTCTGTCTCTCTCTCTTGCTCCCGCTCACCAGGGCCTGAATCCTTATTATTGACAGCTGGGTCCCAGGCCTCTACCATGGACCTGGCTCAGCATCAGTGCTCAAGACAAATGTGCTGTGTAAATGAATTGGAGTCAGCTATCGCTTCATTCATTATTGGGCACTTTTTCTGTGCCGTGTGCTAGGGAAATGGCAGTGAACCAGAAAGTCCCTGCTCTCAGGGACTGGCATACAGAACAGGGACAGACAACTAACACCAAACCAAAAGAAAAAGTGTGGAGTCAGGAACTGAGGAGAAGTGCTAGGAAAGAAAGTCAAGCCAGGTAGGAACAAGGAGTATGGGGCCGCTCAGGTAGGTGGGGAGGTTAGGCTTCCCTGAGGAAGTGGTGTGCCAGGTGGGATATGAACCAAGGAATGGAATAATGGGAGAAACAGAGCAGTCCAGGCAGTGATGTGATGCTCTGGGGGCACAGGTCTGGGGAGACGCCTGATCTATAGCATTTGCTAATTTTCCTGGTGTAAGTATTCCTACCGGTGGCTTGATAAAGCCATGAATGTGACCACTGGCTGGCCAACTTTTTGAAAGTGATAAATAATGACGGCCTTGACTAGAAAGGCAGTGTGGAGAAGATGAGAAATTACTGGGTTTGTAATCTAGTTTGAAGGCAGAATTAAAGGATTTACTGATGGCTTGGGTGTGGGGTGGAGGAGGCGAGAATAAGAGAGGAGTCTGGAACAGCGCCTGCCTTTTTGTCCTGCGCACCTGGGTGAAGAGTGACCTCCTTTTGCTGATGGGCAAGCTGGGGCAACTCAATTGTGGGGAAGAATTTAATTTTGGACACGAGAAATTTGAGATGCCTGTCAGGCAGACATCCAAGGGAATGGCAGTTAGGTGGTTGGAGATATTGGTGTCTGATTTGAGACTCAATCACATTTGGATGGAATTTCAAGTCACAGGACTTGAAGAGAATGCCTGGGGAGACAGTGTGGGGAGGGGAGTGTTGAGCAGGGAGGGTGGGGCCCAATATTCAGCCAGGGGGAGGGAAGAACCAGCAAAGGAAAGATGTCTCAGCAGGAATGATGGGGGTGGTGAGGGCACAGGCTTGAAAGTGGGGAGAAGTGGAAGGCAAGGAGACCAGCGAGGACGAGGAGACAGGGCAGTAGTCTAGGCGCGGTCCTTCAGGTCTGGTCCAGGACGCGGGTGTGGCAGGTGGAGGGCAGGGAGTGACGATCCTGGATGATACCCCTGACTTCCCTGGTCCCCAGGAAATGGTGAAGCTTGAGATCGAGGTTATGAACCAGCTGAACCATCGCAACCTGATTCAGCTCTATGCGGCCATCGAGACCCCACATGAGATCGTCCTGTTCATGGAGTAGTGAGTTCCAGCCCTGGGGGCTGGGGGCCGGGTGGGGGTGACAGTGGGCCCGGAAACAAGCCTGTAGAGGGGTCTGTGCACACAGCATCGAGGGCGGCGAGCTCTTCGAGAGGATTGTGGATGAGGACTATCATCTGACTGAGGTGGACACCATGGTGTTTGTCAGGCAGATCTGCGACGGGATCCTCTTCATGCACAAGATGAGGGTTCTACACCTGGACCTCAAGGTACTGGGGTTGGGGCCTCCTGGGAGGGGTCAGGAACAGCATCCCATCATCTGAAATCAGTGTTGCAACCAGCCTCCTACCCCTCCTTCTCTTCCTGCATCTGGCCCTCCATCTGTAGACTCACTCACTAAGTACCAGGAGCCGGAGATACATCAGAGAGCAAGAAAGCCGTAGTCCCAGCTCTCAGGAGTTCCTAGTTTAGTGCTAAGTATTTGTTGAAAGGGTCCCTTGAAGTCCTGTGAGCCTCACAATCAGTGTCTCACAGATAAAACTTACTGACAAGTGTTGCAAAAGCGCCTACATCAGTGCAGGCCCCTGTGAATGTGTGTTCATTTGCTCCACAAATATTTGTTGAGGGCCTACTCTGTGCTAGTCAGTATTCTAGGTGGTGGGGATCCAGCGGTGAACAAAATAGACAAAAATGCCTGCCCTCGTGGAGCTTATGCTCTGGAAGGGGAATCCAAAAAATACATCGATAAGTACAGCATCGATGTGGCCGTATGCAGGGGGTAAGCGCTAACAAAAATTTCTAGGGAAAGAATATTTATACCCCTCTTCTGACCTTGCTTGGTACCTTGCCTGTAGCAACTCAGGGAGAGCAAGTAGATTTCACGGATCCTAACTCTGATCAGCTGGCAGTGGCTGTCGGAGATGTCAGCCGTGGCGTGTAGAGGGCGGAGAGCCCCATGAGTGCCGGGTACTCCCCCGTCCTTACAACAGTTGTTAATGTTTGTGGGGTTAAGTGGCAAGGCTAGGGGAAGATGGAATATGAACACTGAGGTGGGTTAGCACCTATCAGCAAAGTGCATAGAATTTTCATGTATTCATTTGACAAATACGTACTGAGCACCTGCTCTTGGGTACAGTGCTGAACACGAGCCAGATCATAGGGATGACGAAGACACACCCCCATCCTGTGGAGCCTCCAGGTCAGTGGGGGAAACAGACATCCCTACAATAATGACAAAACGATTAGGTCATTTTAGACCATCAAAAGTGTTATGGAAAAATACGTGAGAGTAATGGGGAGATGTACGAGGTGAAATTGGAGAAGCAGTCTGGGACCGGAGCAGGAGACGTTGCTGCTGGGGCTTGACACCTACTCCGTGTTACTAGGGCTCAGAGCTGCTCAGGGCTGTTCCGGGTGCTCCTTCCGACAGCCCACTGGGTTGGGTGTGCTGTTACCATTCCCACTGACAAGGGAGGGTAAGGAGATGGGTATCTATGGGGCCACCGTGGCAGCAGGGAATTTAGGAGGCAGTCATAATAAGCCAGGAGACAGATGACAGGGCTGGAACCAATGGCAGTGGGGGAGGGATGGGAAGTGGTCAGATGATGGACACATTCTGAAAATAGAGCCCACCTGACCTGTGATGGTCTGGATGTGGGAGAACAGAGGGAAAGGAAGGAGTGAGGGTGCCTCCTGAGTTTCTGGACAGAGCCGATGCTTGCACGGTGGCTTTGGCACCTGCCATTCTCCCGTGAAAGCCACTTCCTTTAGGGTAGAGCAGGGACCCCGATTAAACTGCAGTGTCCTAGGAAGAAGCTCAACCTTAAGTTTCTGTATCCTAGAATGTGCCGTTTTCAGGACAGCAATGTTTTTCATCAGTAAAAGGGTTCATGGTCAAGTAAGTTGGGTGAACCACAGCCTGAAGGCACTGCCCAGGCCTCTAGCTGCAGGGATTCTCAGGAAGTCCCGTGTCCCCAAGAAGGAGGTCTGAGTCTGTCTTTTTCTTATTTTTAATTTTTTGGTCTTTTTTTAAAAATTGAAGTGTAGTTGATTTACAATGTTAGTTTCAGTTGTAAAGCAAAGTGTTTCAATATATATACATATAGATACATGTATTTTCAGACCATGATAGCTTAAAAAAATTTTTTTATTTATATATTTATAGTCAGTTTTGGGGGAGGGTATAGCTCAATTGGTAGCATGCACAAGGTCCTGTGTTCAATCCCAAGTAACTCCATTAAGTAAGTAAATAAATAAATAAACCTAATTACCCCCTCCTCAAAAAAAAGTTTAAAGTATAGTCAGTTTACAACATTGTCTCAATTTCTGGTGTACAGCATAATGTTTCAGTCATACGTTAAGCTTATTACAAGAATTTGAATATACTTCCCTGTGCTATAAAGTAGGTCTCTGTTGTTTATTTTAAGATAGTAGTGTGTATCTGTTAATCCTAAACTCCTAATTAATCTCTCCCCTCCTTTCCCCTTTGGTAACTATGGTTTGTTTTCTATGTCTGTGAGTCTGTCCCTGGCTTGTAAATAAAATTTGTATCTTTTTTTAGATTCCATGTATAAGTGATATTGTATGTTGTCTTTCTCTGTCTGACTTAACTTCACTTAATATGAGCATCTCTAGGTCCATCCATGTTGCTGCAAATGGCATTATTTCATTCTTTTTTATGGCTGAGTAATATTCCATTGTGTGTGTGTGTTTGTGTGTGTGTATACTGGATCTGTCTTGTTTCCCCTACCAGCTGGGGCCTTTCTTTCCTTCCCTGTTTTGGTAGAACACCAGGTAGAGCTACTGAAGTCACTAGCGTCCTGCTCTGAGTGAGCACAGTAGTTTGAAAGGACCTTCCAAAAGCCTGTCATGGGGCCTCTAAAAAGATGCCCAAAGAGCGCAGACGAAGAACAAAAGTCTGTTAAATGGCCAGGTCGGGAGGTGGAGGCCTTTGGCCAGTCTCAGAGGTCAGCAGCAACTCGCTTCAAGCCATGCGTGGCCGTGTTGCTGGGGCTTCCAGTATGTCAGGAGGTGCTGAAAAATCAGGAAATCAGAGTTTTTGTGTAAAATCTGCCTTTTAAACATTGTTAACTACTTAAAAAGTTTCTGCCCTACAACCTCAGATTAGCCCTGTGTCCTTGTGTCACATGAAGAGGAAATGGAGGCCCAGAGAGGGAGGGACTAGACTTGCAGTGACTTCTCATGATCCCCTGTGCTTGGGGCACAGGCTTCCTGGGAGCCTTGGCTGAGAACCTACTGGGTGCTTTGTTAGATGCTGAGGGTGGGGAACAAGGAAGCCTGGAGAAGACGGTTCCTTCCCTGGAAGAGCCCCTCTCAGGCCTCCGGATTCTCCTCTGTGCCTGAAGCAGGCAGGTCTGAGGGTCCCTAATAGGCTGTCCACTCTGGTGGCCTGGGTTTCTGCTCCAGGGAGCCTGGGACTTGGGTGGACTTGAACGAGGAGGGAGGGTGAGCCAGGTCAGAGGTCAATCCAGGCCACCCCCTTCTTCTCAGCCAGAGAACATCCTGTGTGTCAACACCACGGGCCATTTGGTGAAGATCATTGACTTCGGCCTGGCACGGAGGTACCACCCTGGTGGGCAGGGAGGATGGGTGACAGGGGGAAGCTTAGAGGGTCCCTGGAAACGGCTGGAGTTGTTCCCTGAGCTCTTTGTCTCACCTCTAGGTATAACCCCAATGAGAAGCTGAAGGTGAATTTTGGGACCCCAGAGTTCCTGTCACCTGAGGTGGTGAATTACGACCAAATCTCCGATAAGACAGACATGTGGAGTATGGGGGTCATTACCTACATGCTGTGAGTCCTGAAAGAGAGTGGTGTTTACGGGCTTGGGGTACATGGTGGGCGGCTGAGGCCGAGATTGATTCCACCTACCCACTCCCTCAGTCAGGGGTTTGCTGAGCATTGGGAGTGCTAGGGAGGACCACGAAAGGGAACTTTGTACCCATTTTATAGATGGAGAAACCAAAGCCTCCGAAGGCATAGCATCCCAGCCCAGGGCTCTGGACAGCAGACCTTTGATGTCCCAGTGCACCCATCATTCCTCTTCTTCACTGTAACCCTGGGAAGCTGGGATGATTAAGCCCATTTTACAGATGAGAAGAGTGAGGCTCAGAGAGGGAAAGTGACTTGCCCAAGGTCACCCAGCCAGATTCGAACCCAGGTCTGTCTCACTTGAGAGGCTGGGGGTCTTTTCAGCACTCCGTGCTACTTCCTAGGATCTGCCCGCATCCCTGACCCAATTTCACCTCCCTACCCACTGCCATCCTCTCCCTCCAGGCTGAGTGGCCTCTCCCCCTTCCTGGGAGATGATGACACGGAGACCCTGAACAATGTTCTATCAGGCAACTGGTACTTTGATGAGGAGACCTTCGAGGCTGTGTCAGATGAAGCCAAAGACTTTGTCTCCAACCTCATCGTCAAGGACCAGCGGTGAGGCTCACCCCAGGACACGAACCCTGTGTGTGCAAGCCCAGTGTGTGCTTGTGCCAGCTGGGTGGGTAACCGGGCTGGAAGGCCAGCAGGGTGGTGCCTTACTGGATGCCACCCACCCTTACTGGACCGCCCCCTCCCCACAGGGCCCGGATGAACGCTGCCCAGTGCCTTGCTCACCCCTGGCTCAACAACCTGGCAGAGAAAGCCAAGCGCTGTAACCGACGCCTCAAGTCCCAGATCCTGCTTAAGAAATACCTCATGAAGAGGCGCTGGAAGGTACCACTGGGCTGGTGGGGGGGAGGAGGGAGGGCGTACAGGCAGGAAGAGCTCTGGCCCCACCAGTCCTGCCTTGGCTGGTTCTGTCTGGAAAACAGAATTGGTTTTTCTCTCTTTGTCTTGGGCTGGCTCCTGCACTGGGTGGTGGCCCTCTACCCACCCCCTCCACCCTGAGAAAGGCATCCACTTGTGGCTCGGGCTCAGGAAAAGGTCTCTGACTCCATCACAGCCTTTGCTCCCTCATTTCACAAATATTTCTTGAGCATCTACTACTTCTAGGCACTGGGGATACACTAGTGGACAAAGAGACAAGGATTTCAGTCTTTTGTGGCCTTACTTTTAGTAGGAGGTGGTAGTTATTAAAAGGGCTTAAGGAAGGGCTCTAGAAAAAAATAAAGATCTTCAGGAGTGCCAAGGAGAGACTGCTCTTCTAAATAGGGTGGCCATGGAGGGCACACTAAGAAGGAGCATGTGAACAAAATCCTGGAGGTGAGGGCTGAGCCACGCTGGTACTGGAGGGAAGAGTGTCCCAGGCAGAGGGAACAGCTGGTGCAAAGGCCCTGAGGCAGAAGCATGGTTGTCAAGTGTAGAGAACAGGTAGGAGGCCAGTGAGGCTGGAATAAGCAAGAGGGTAGAGGAGACGTTGAAGAGGAACATGAGGCAGGGCATGGAAGGACTCGGCCATGGTGAGGGGTTTATCTTTTACTTGGACTGCAATAGGAACCACTGAAACGTCTTGAGCAGAGCGGTACTCAAGTTGGCTGATGAATCTGTTGAATGAGGGCAGGAGTCCAGGAGGCTGCAGTGTCATGGCGCCTCCTGTGGCCATTTAGGGCACTGCACCCACCCTGGCGTTGGGCCCTCCTGGAACGAAGGGGACCTTGGGAGACACTCAGTAGCCCTACAGCTTTTCCTCTGCCATGTTGCTGACTGGGACCTCTCTCCTTCATCCCTCAGAAAAACTTCATTGCTGTCAGCGCTGCCAACCGCTTCAAGAAGATCAGCAGCTCGGGGGCACTGATGGCTCTGGGGGTCTGAGCCCCTGGAGCAGCTGATGCCTGGACGCAGCCGCACGGTGGTTGGGGCTGAGGCCACACAGCCCAGAAAGCCGGAGCAGATGGGCCAGGTCCCCAGGGCAGGCTGGCCAGGACAAGGCAGCGCCAGGCTGGGAGGCTCGGGGCTCCCCACGCCCCCGTGCAGTGACCGCTTCCCCGACATGAGCCTCCTCGGATGTGGCCTGACTCCATCCTGCTAATGCCTCCCTAGACAGGGCTCCGGCCCATCAGCCAGAGCCCAGACTCCAAAGGCCCTGTGGTTCCCGCCCCAGCTCCCGCTCCTAGAACTGCTGCTCGGTGACCCCTGCTTGGCCTCACCTGGGGCATCCCTGGCCTGGGCTTGCTCCTAGCCGGAGTGGGAGGGCTGGGGGGGTCCCAGCTTGTGGGATTTCTGCCTTTGTGGATGGGAGGCCCTTGGTGGGGCAGGAAGGCAGACGGCTGATTCCTAAGGCCCAGCTGCCAAGGGAGACAGAGCAGCCTTTGTGAAAAAGGACCTCTATGCCCCCATCCGCCTCCCCACTCCCAACAGATAAGGCCTAGCACACACCATCTGGCTTGGGCCCGGTCCCCGCCCACCTTCCTAGCGACCACCAACACACAGGAACTGCGAGTGAGAGACAGGATGAGAGAGAGGACGCCCAACCCAAGTCTGGTGGAGGGGGAGGGGAGAGGCCTGGGGGACAGAGGAGACCACCCCCGAGCTTGCCTGAGGGCCAGGCTGGCCCAACCCAGCCACTCTGGGCCCCCATCCCAAGGGTCACCCACAGCCTCAGATGATAGGGTTGGCAGGCCCAGGAGGAGTGGGGAGACTGTTGGGCAGCCCCCAACCTGCTCTCAGCTTGTGCCTTGTAAATAAATGTACAGGTTGTATGTGGCCTCCTTCTCTGTGTGTGTGAGGTCACAGTCGGCCACTGTTCCCCAAGCACTTCTGCGGGCCAGGCACTTTAGTGGAACTGCATATGCAGTGTTGTTGCTCTGGATGCAGCCTCAGGAGCCAGGCTGCCCAGCATGTAATCCGGGCAAGTGGCTACCCCTTTTGTGCCTCAGTTTGCTCATTGGGGGAGTTGGGGAGGGTCACAGCACCAGTCAACGTTCATGCGTAATGACTGTGTGCCAGGCTTTATTCAAGTGCTTGTGTGTTTATTCATTCATTTACACCTCACAGCAAGGTGATGAGGTAGATATTATTATTATTCCTATTTTACTGAGGGGGAAACTGAGGCTTAGAGAGGGGAAGGAAGTTGAAGGCTTGTCAACAAATCAGAACCTGGGGCTTAGAATGAACTCTGGTCACCCCAGAGCAAGGCTCTGCCCAGGGACCCACCCTGCTTCTCACAGAAAAAAGTGTCTAAGCCGAAAGCAGAGTCTCCAGGTGGAGCCAGGAGTCTGAGCAGGTCTGTGATGCTGAGTCCTGTGGGAGACAGCTGTTTTCTCATTTCTCCCATGGGCCCCAGCCCGCCCCACCCCAGGCCTGCAATGCAGGGGGTGGGGTGCCATTTGCTGGAGGGGGCAGCCCAGAGGGCAAGAGAGATTAACCCTAATAGGGTGCAGCTTTCCGGCTGCGAGGATGACTGTGGGACTGGCCGAAGTGAGGCAGCTGGGCGGCCTGCTGGGGGCGTAGCAGTTCCAGCAGGAATGGCAGTGATGAGAGTTCACGGGCACTGAGCTGAGTGCCTGCTGGGTGCCTGCCCTGGCCCAGCTCTGCGATCACACGGACTGCTCTTAGTCACCCTGCATGGCAGGCGTTATGTCCATTTCTCCGAGGAGGAAGCCAAGACTCAGGGAGGTTAAGCCACTTGCTCAGGGTCACACAGCTAGTTGGTGCAGAGCCAGGATTTCTACCCGGTCTGGACCCAGAGCCCATGCTCTTAACTGCTACCCTGTCTGCCTCTGAGAAATCATAGAAGGAGACCTTGATCCTTTATCCCTCCATCCCCTGCCTCCATGGACCCTGGCCTGGAGGGCCAGGCCAGCTCCTCAACCCGACCTCTGCCCTGTTCCAGCAGATGGGTTCAGAGTCCCACTGTAGCAGGTGTCACATGGGGCAGGCTATAGGGGCCTTTGAGGTCTGAGCCTGCTAGGGTTTGCATTTGGGGCTTGCGGAGGCAGAAGGGCCTGGGGAGCCTGGTTTGGGTTCTTGTTGGAGGATGTGCTTATGCACAAGGCCCCTAGGGCTGTGGATCCCTGCCTGCCTGCCCGCCCGCCCGCCACCTGCTAGCTGGGCCAGGCCTGTGGTTTCCTCTGAGTTCTCTCGCCCTTGCTGGCCCCCACCCAGGCTGAGCCTTGGCCACACAGCGTGATGATGAGGGATGAGTCACCACCATCGTGGAGGGGTAAGGAAATGAGCTCCAGCCAGTACAGAGATACAGGGTCTGGATCCAGCTGGGGAAACCGAGGCCAAAGCGAGAAGGCCCCTCAACAGAGACAGCAACAGTTGGGACTAGAACCCAGGACTCCCGACTCCCAGCTCGAGCCTCAATTTCTTCCCTGATGGTATGCAAATGACAACCTCAACCCACTGTCTTCTGCCACTCTGAGGGCCATTGTGACACCTGAGAGGTGGGATAGGGTGCTCATTCACCCTGTTTCACAGGCGAGGAAACAGGTTCAGAGAGGGAAAGTGGCCTGCCCAAGGCTACACAGCAAATTAACATGTCCTGGGAAGGAAGCCCACCGGAACCTTGGAACAGGGCTAATCACTGCCTCTGTTCCTATCCCCTCCTGGGAGTACATCTCAGAAAGCTCTTTTTGATTCATCAGTTGCCTTTTGGGCCTCCCCTGGTCCCTGGAAGTAAAGGCTACAGACTTGACAATATGGAGGGGGAAATGATGGGGGCCTCGGAGCACACCCAAGAGAAAGCTGGGGTGACAGCCCCTGCTGTGGGACTGTCTTTGCCTCTCTGCAAGCCTGGGTCCAGCCCCATGGCCTTCACCAGAGCTCCCATCCCCAGCAGCCTTGGAGCCGCCCTGGTGGAGGGGGTAAATCCATGCTCATTTGGGCCTACCAGCTGGAGCCAGAGGCACTGGGTCTGGATCTGGGGTTCTACAAGTCCCGAGTACCAGGCTGTGAGCATCCCCTGCACCTTGCTTCTTGGTGTGCCCCCCCACCACGGTGCCTGTGTTGTGGGCTCCCCCTGCACGGTGCCCATCCCGATGCTGACACTAACTTCCTTGCAAGGTGCTCTGTGTACCAGGGGGCCAGGGCCACGAGCTTCTCCTGCTCAGCGTCCTGGGCCCCCCTTGTGGGCTCAGAAGGGTTAACACCTTCAATAGGAGAGTTCCTCCCCACGGGTCCCAGCCCAGAGAGCGTTCCTCCAAGACTATTTCCTGCCGCTGGGCCTTGGCCAGGCCCACAGTGACCACCCCCATGGGTCTGAGGCCGCATCTGGTTTGGATTACACCAGGGCTGGTGACGCTGCCTTTTCCTGTTGGCGTCCAGTGGCCTTGAATTCCACCGGCCACCTTGGACCCAACAGGGCAGTTGTGGGAAAAGATTCAGCCAGTGACAGGGCTGCCCGAGGGTGTGAAGCAGCCAGGGCTGTCCTGAAGGATGTGCCCACCTGGACCCAACTCCTGCTCGCACAGCTAGCTACACACCTGTTCTTCCTTCACTCTAATGGGTGTTATTTACTGAGCACCTGGCCCTGTACCATGTGGTTCCCAGGGATACATGCGTTTCATCCCCACCCTGTTAGTGGGGTATTTTCATTATCAGCATTTCACAGGTAGAGAAACTGAAGCCCAGGGAGTTTACAGGTAAGCCCATGGGTTCCAAGCCAGTAAGTAGTGGAGTCAGGATGCAAAGACGGCAGCCTGACCTCAGACACATCCAATCACTTCACAGCTATGTGTTGAGTCCCTTTTCTGGGCCTGGCCCTTGAGTCTGGAGAGGAATTAGTCATGGTCCCGGCCTTCAGGGAGTTCTCAGCTTTTGGAGCCCCAGAGATGGGAGGATCATAGTAAAGCTGGAAGGGCGTGGAAGAAGACACTAGCTCCAATTCTCTCCTCTCCAGTGGGAATTTTGGCCAAGCTGAGAGCAAGTAAGGAGCAGGCCTTTTCCAGTTGGAGCAAGGGGGTGTGTTCCAGGCAGCGCCAAAGCCTTAGAGCTGAGAACAAGCTTGTCAGTGGGGCTTTAGCATATAATGGAGCGGGAAATGTCTGGAGAAGTTGGCAGGACCCTCAAATGCCAGGCTGAACTGGGGCCATAGGGAGCCATGGAAGGGTTTGGAATGAAGGAGAGACATGGTCAGATCTGTGGTTTAAAAGGATCCCTGCTGCCAGCGATGTTGGTGAGTGGGAGGGGGAGACTGGAGGCAGGGAGGCAAGGTGGAGGTTGGTCTGCTAGAGGGGCTGTGAGGACTGTGGGGACCAGAGGAGCGAGCTGTAGAGATCACACACCTCCAGGCTGATGACTGAGAGACTGGGTGCAGGTCAGGCAGAATAGGGTTCATGTCTACTTAGTTGCCCTCTCTGAGCCTCAGTTTCCTGTCTGTAAAATGGGATAATAATACCTGCCTCCCAGGGTCAAGGCAACAGTGACATGAGATGTGCAGGTGGAGCACCTGGCCCGGGCTGCTGAGCTTCTGTTTGGTCCACAACAAGTTTTCTAGCCCTTACTTATTGTCCTGGGTGCTGGGCACAAAGCAGCCAATAGACCAAAATTCCTGGACTCCTGGAGCTTCATTCTGCTGGGAGGATGGACGGCAGTAATACATTTAGATGGTGTTGGTGGGGCGGATGGGGGATGTGATGGTCAGGGAGACTTCTCTGGGGACATTTGAACAGAGACTGAAGGGTGAGAGGGAGTAAGCCCTGTGGGTATTTGTGGAAGAGCATTCCAAGCAGAAGGATGAGCAGGTGCAAAGGCTGTTTGAAGTGAGGGAGCAGAGGGCCGAAGCCAGATCACACAGGCCTCTAAGGACTTGGCCTTCGGCTCTGCGTGCGCCAGGGAGCCCCAAGGGGGTTCTCTGAGATTTAATCCATGGCAAATGGATTTATCCAGTTGTCCACTCAGCAAACTTTTATTGAGGGCCTGCTACATGCCGGCCTGCGGGCTAGGGGAGGGGATGAAGTGAGTAAGGCAGAATCCAGCCCCTGCGCCCACCACCAGGCTCGTGTCCTAAGGCAGAGACACAAGAATAAGTGCATACACACAGAAATGCATCATTCCACGTGGTGACACGTGCTGGATGCAGAAAACAAACAGGGTGCAGAGGTGGAGAAAAACCTAGGGGCATTCTATCGGAGCAGGGGGTGAGGGGAGGCTTCTCTGAGGAAGTGATATTTAACTCGGGCTCTGGAGCTGAGAAATCAGCTAGTGGGGAGTGAGCACTCCAGGTGGAGGGAACAGCACGTGCAAAGGCCTCCAGGTGGAGACACTCACCACGGAGTCAGATTGCCTTAACTCAGGGCCAGAGGGTCAGACTCCTGTTTGTCTCCCAGAAGAGATCAGGGCACCCTGAGGACTGTGGTCTGGAGGAGGCAGCCCTGGCCTTTCCAGGGGCCACAGGCAGGCTTCTGACCGACTGTGGGACGAAATAGGTCTCTGGGTTTTTTTTAGCCTGAAACCACTTCCTTCAGCCCCACCAGCTGCCTCCCTGAGTCACCACCTAGTTACCAGCCGAGTGGGAACTGGGGATTAGGCACCTCAGGACCTGGACTGGCAGGGACAGAGGTTTTGCCACGTGCAACAAAAAGGACAGAGAGAACTGGACTGAGGGTACAAGGCCCGCCAGCCGGGCTGTTTTAAGTTTCAATAGTTGACATAGGTTATTATATTAGTTTCAGGTGTCCAATTTCATTCTTGTTGACTGAATCGTACACGTGGTATGCAAGATGAGGTTTCCTGCATGCCAGTCCTGGGGGTGGAAATCCTTACCCCATTTTACAAAGAAACCAGTACTCAGAGAGGTGAATCTACTTGCTCAAGCTCACACAGCAAGGAAGTGAAGATGCCAGGTATTGAATCCTAAGTATGGCCTCTATAATGGTCTTCCCTCCCCCTGCATCTTCCCAGCACTGCTGCAGCTGGACTTCCCCCTGGGAGTAAATCAGGTTGAAGGGACAAGCCCCCAGGGCCCAAATATTTATTTATTTAATTTAAACACTTACATTGCAGTTTCCATGTGCCAGACCCTGTTCTAAGCACTTTGCAAATATTAATTTACGTCATCCTCACAACCACCTTGTGGACGTCAGGATTGTTAGTGTCTGTATTTTATAGATGAAGGAAGCAACAGAGAGGGGGAGCAACTTGCTCAAAGTCACACAGTAGGAAGTGACAGCTGGGATCTCAACCTAGTCAATTGGGGTCCAGATCCCCTGCTCTTAGCTGCTGTACCTACTGCCTCTGGCAGCCTGGCCTTTTTGGGGTGATGGGAGCCTGGGTAGGGAGGGGATGCTTTGGCTGAGGCCTGGATTCCTGGGTTTGTATACTCCCAGGAGGCCGACCTGCCAGGCTGGTTGGCAGAAACTTCCTCATCACTGTGGTGGCCTCAGAGTGCCCGCCCTACGAGGGAGAGGGTCTCCCCACCCTAGCCCAGGCGCTGTCTGGGGTGTGGGAAGGAGTTTGGTGTGCTGGGCAGCGGAATGCCATAAAACAGGGAAGGAAGCGGGTGGGCGGGAGAGGCTCAGGGAGATAAGATGTGGAGGGTGGAGGAGCCGGCTGAGGAAGGCCCAGCCCTATGGGTGGGGGTAGCCTCCCTGGAGGCAGAGAGAGCAGAGACCAAAGGACCAGCAGGTGAAGAACTTCCTGACAGCCCTTCCAAGCTGCCAGACTGGGGCGGGAAGGGCCGGCTCTGAAGGCAGAGGGCTCCCCTTTCCTGGAAGCCCACGTGATACGCACCGCTTGGTGTGGAGGGGATTCAGAAATTGGGCAGGAGACGCCCTTTCAAGTCTGATATTCCAAGAATCTGAGCTGCTGTGATTAAAAACTCTGGAATATTCTGAAATACTACAGATTCTACCATTTTAGATTTTGATTTAGCTTAACGCTACAAGGCCACTCGACATCCTTTTTGGCTCTAACCTGCTGAGGAGGAGAAGTGGGGGCTGGGATCCCCTCCTGGAGACAGACAAGCCTCCAGTGAGGAGAGTCAGATGGGATGGCCCCTGTCCCCTATGAGCTCTATAGTTGAGGCAGCAGAGGGAGACCTGCTCCTGCCTTGCTGTGTGACCTTGGGCATGTCACTTACCTTCTCTGGCCTTGGTCTCCCCATCTGTGCCGAGGTGCTCTCCTGGGTCAGCCCAGCTTAGGCATTCTGAATCTCTGCTAAGCAATGTCTACCCCATCAGGTGGGGGTGGCCAGGCAGGAGCCAGAGGGTGTCTGTTGGTCATGGAAAGAATGCGAGGGCAAAAGGCCCAGTGGGTGGGGGCCCTGGGCTGGGCAGCAAGCGGAGGGCAACATGAGATCATGGTGTCTGGGCCTCCTGGTCCAGCATCTCTGGGGAAGGGATCCCTTCCAGGCTATCCCACAGGTCAGACCTTCCCTGGGATCTGTATTCAAAGAGTCAGGCTGCCCATTCCCCTCACCGCTCCCCCCTCCCCAAACTTCCCACAGGGCAAAGGGAGTGAAATCAGGAAGATGGGGACTGGTCCAGGCTCACACAGCAAGTCCAAGGCAGGCTATGAGCCCAGGGTTCAGCTTAGGGACTGTGGCTGAGGGCCTGTCTTCACTTCTTGACTCTTTTACGGGACCAGAGAGGGCGTGGAGAGCTGAGTCTGTGCTGCTGGGTGTGGCTGACTCTTCCTCACTCGGCCCCATGGCAAAGGGTGGGCAGGGGGGCTCAGCTTTCTTTTCCCCAGACCCCACCCCAGTTAGATGCTAAACCTTCTCAGGGGGTGGGTGGGGCAGGATGCAGAGGCTTGGGCTCCCCACATTGGGCCAGCCTCCCCATCCTCCCACTAACTCAGGACACAGGCTGGGAAGGGACTAGGGTCACCAGGTCTCCACAGGAATGCACCGCAGGGAACAGTGCCCGGCAGAGGCCTCTTTCCCTGACCCAGCTGAGAAAGAACCCCTGCCCCCCTCAGTCCGTTTGTCCCTGTCTCTGTAACTGTTTGTCTCTGCTCATCCCACTCCCTCTCCTTCTCTCCCTCCTTCTCTCTCTCTCTCTCTCTCTCTCACACACACACACACACACACACACACACACACACACACACACGACTCCCTCCCCTCCCCTTTCAGCCGTGAGGCAGCCCAAATGCCACAGGACAGACCCCTTCTCCTTCTCCCCACTGCTCCACAGGTTCTGGGTTCCAGGCTGGGGTCCGGCACGCACAGTGGGAAGGGTCTCCACAGCTGGCCAGGCACTTTTCCAACCCTTCCGGCCGCAGCAAGCCCCCACCCTGCAGGTTCCCCCCTCCATCCCGGCTCTGGAGTCTGTGGGAACCAGACAGTTGGGGCTGTCCAGCCGGGCTCGCTTCCTCCCAGGCCCCAGGGGACCTGGGGGGAGGAGGGAGCCACAGAGACTGAAGCCAGCGTGGCTGCCTGCTGGAGGGGGGCCTCTAGAGGAGACTGGGCTGCTTGCTCCACGAAGGGGCCTCCAGGTCCCCTGAGTGTCACCAGTTGGGACATAAGACCCTCCAGGCTACTACACCAAAGACCAGAGATGGGGTTCCCCTAGTATTCCTGGCCACTCTCTTCTCTCCTTATACGCATGATCCAGATGAGGGGACTGAGCTTCCAGAAGAAAGCCATCTGCCTCAGCAAGTCTAGTGTTGGAGGTGTAGAGACAGTGAGGTTTTGGGTCCCTAAGTCTGTTTCTCTGATGGGAGCCATGAATATACCCATTTCTCCTGCTTCCACCCAAGAGGGCAGCTGGAGAAGGCCACGGTCAGGGCTCAGGCTCTTCTGATCTGTACCCCGCACAGCCACCCCTGCCCCACACAAGAGAAGTGCTTTCTTAGAGTCTCTAGGAGACCTCAGCCTCAGGTCATATGCAAAGTCCAGACAAGGGCAGTGATGCCCGCCCTTTGAGTCTTGGGTTCCCTGGCTGTGCAAGGGGTAAGGGATGCCTTTTTAGCCCTGGCATGCCAGGACTCCAAAAAAGCCCTCCTCCCTCTGGAGGCCCCCACCAGCTCTGTGCCACCCTGCATCTGTGCTCAAACTGCAGGTCAGGGGCTGGGGGGCAGAGCCACACAGATCTGGTTTTGATTTCCTCTCTGCCACTTATTGGCCATTTGGAGCCAGAGCTAGGGAGCCCAATGTCTTTGGGTGTCAGTTTCCACCCCTGTAAATGGGGATAACACTATAGCACATAGGATTCACTGAAAGGATAAATACAAGCCCGAGACAGAATAAATGGCACAAATGGTCACAGTTATTGTGACTGTTCACAATGGGGGCTGCTGAGTCACAGAGTTTGGGGCTGGAGACTCAGCTCTTCAGCCCAGCCCATCCTCACCCCTGCCTGGTGAGATTGCATTCCTCCTCTCTCTCTCCCGTCCCCTGCTCCCCTGTTCCTCTGCCTTCCTGGGAAACTCCCTGAGAAAGTCCCCAGCAGGAGAAAGCCTCATGTAGGATATTTCCATCCGGGGTCCCCCGCCTCTGCCACACGACCCCACAACTCCACTCACCCCTCACAGAACCAAGTGTTCCAGCCCTCAGCCCCCAACCATCCAGCAAACCGACCCTCATCATCACACTGGCTTTATTGGCCCTGAGAGCCACAGAGTAAATCCCCAAGGGGGCCCTGCTTCCCCACACCCCCAAGTCTGTCCAGAGGTCCTGGGGGCTGGCCGAGTGTTCACTCCCATCTTAGCTTCCTCGCCAGGCCTTCTCCTTTGAGCGCTCCCCAGATCCTAGAGTCAGGCTTAGCCTGGAGGGTGGAGTTGGGAGGGGCTCCGCAGGGACTGCCTGAGGCCGGCTGGCTTCACTCAAAGAAGAACATTCCTGGCGTCCGGTATAGACAGGGGGTCAGCCCCAGTGGATAGCTGGAGCCTCCCTGGACAGGGAAGCTGCCTGCAACCCAGGGTTCTTTGGGGTCAGCTGGCAGGGGCAGTGGGGCTCGGAGGGAGGCTGGAGGGGTGGGTGGGGCAGGGGAGGGGGCTGCTGAGGCCAAGAGGTGCTCAAGGCCTGGGTCAGTCCCCACGCAGAAATTCAGTGCCTGCAGCCGGCACTGGTAGCTGCTCCCGATGGCCGCCTCAGAGGTCAAGATGGGCGCAGGGGTCTTGCTGAACCCCTCAGCCTCAGAGAAGCTGGCAGGAAAGCCAAATGCTGGGCACGGGGAAGACGAGGTGGCCATGGGGAGCTCCCCTGGGCCTGAAGGCTTGGGCATGGGCATCTCCTTGGGCTCTGCAGGTGGCCGAGGCCTGGCATCAGGGGTTGCTGAGCACATGCTGGATGGCAAGGCCCCTCCTGGACCCCCAAAGCTTAGGCCCTTGGGCTCCGGCAGCTCCGGCGGGAATGTGCACTGCCTGCCAGTTGTGGCGTCAGGGGCTCCTGGGTCCTGGCCGGTGGCTCTGAGGGGTCCGCGGCGTGCCTTGGCAGGGCCCTTGGCGCCCTCGGTGCCTGCCCGCCGGGTGAAGCGCCGGCGGCGGCGCAGGAAGCTGCCGTGCTCGAACATGTCGTGGCAGTCGGGGTCCAGTGTCCAGTAGCTGCCCTTGCCCGGCTTGCGATCATCGCGGGGCACCTTGACAAAGCACTCGTTGAGTGACAGGTTGTGACGGATGCTGTTCTGCCAGCCGGGTCGGTTGTGGCGGTAGAAAGCAAAGCGGCCCATGATGTAGCGATAGATACCGCTGAGCGTGGCCCGCTGCCCCGGCGAGCTCTGGATGGCCATGGCAATCAGGGCGATGTAGCTGTAGGGCGGCTTGGTCGGCTCGGCTGTTGGGGCTAGGGGCCCGGCTGGGGGCTGCTGCTGCATGCTGACCGACTGGATTGACTGGGCTGGCCAGGCTGGCGGCTGCCGGAACCGCAGGGGCCAGGCACGGTGTCCAGGGCCGGTGTCCGGTACAGCCTGCCCAGGCTGGTTAAAAGGGCCACTGGCCCAGCCTCCC